GAAATGTCGACGTCAAAGAATTGATATAAAAGGGGTGACATCGTGCCCAGTCACCCCTGCACTATACATTGGATATATATATATATATATATATACTTTATTTCTTCATATTTTTTATTGTCTGTTCTCTCTTTTATTATATAAAAAACTAGCAAAGCTATCCATTCTGAGAATGTGATCTAGTGTGTTTTTTAGTGCTATATAAAATTTTTTTGGACACAACTAACTCGTATAACATTTAAGACTTAAAATACCTGTATGTATACATAAGGTGTACATATAGGGTAAATCCTCCATGATGCACAACAATTATGCATTTATTTCTCACTTTTAAGCTCTAACCGAACACTTGTAATTTTCTTAACATTTTTTGAAAAGAGGGGTTCGAGAAATAATTAAAGTTCTTTTACATATACGATGAAAAGTTTATAAAAATCAACGCGTTGGTCATTTAAAAAGCCTGCGTGGGTCAGTGTCTGGCCCGCGGGTCATAGGTTCGCCATCATTGACCTAGGTTGTCTGAAAACTTACCTCCACCACCTCCGTTCGCGCGTATTTAATCCAGGTTTTCGAACATCTCACCTGCACATCTACTTCTAGAACCGGGTTAGGTGGCCGGCCGTGACCGTCGCAGAGGAGATTGTCGCACGCCAACGATATCTCGCATATCGGTATTTCAGCAGGATCTGAGACAAGTGTCAAGTTTGAAATTTCAGGGTAACTGGAAATATTAACGCTAGAACTTGATTAACGACGAGCAAAGTAACGAGTGTAATATTCGTAGCGAAGAAATCAAAGTGCAAGAGAGAAGAAAAAGTTACACAAGCTTCTATTAACACGGCGTTTGATGACGGCGTCAACCACGCGTGACTGACGATCTTAAAATCTATAAATTTTTCAGACATGTATAAAATTTTCATGGAAGATTATAATAAAGTAGGTGGTCGTTTTAATCACTCTGATAGTTGTTTTGATAGCTGAGAGAAAGGGAGACACAAAGGGCGGCGAACCTGCCGAAATTCCACGTTGCAGTCGTAGCATTTGGATGTCGGTGTCGTGTTTGTGCCCGCTGAACGCCTCTATGCGTTGCTGCAGCGCCAGTAACTGACTTCGCATGCACTCGTAGCTGGCAAGCTGAAGAGCCTGCAACCAACTGTCTCTCTCCTCGGCCGAGTTTGCACCCAACGCTTGGAACAAACCTCCGTCGAAGACTGAAATCAATCCTTCGTTTTTCTCAACGCTGCTCTTTTACAAAGACGTTCCATTTATTGCGGACTTGTTGTTGCGTAAGTGAGTAGCTTCTCGAAGAGAAGAGACGGGCGCTTACCTATACTGAATCCATACGGGATCTGATTGCTCGGTTGCTCCATGCGAACGAAGCATTGTTCTAGTATTATCACGCCCAGAGGCTCCGACCATTGCTCTCGCGACTTGAAATAAAACAACAGGTTTCCCCGTAACCTGCACCATCTCTCCAAACTTACTATCCAACAGAAAAGAAAAGGTAACAACCCCGTATTAGTCTGTTTTCGTCTGCTCGAGAACACGTACGTTTCCCCCTTATTCCCCCCCCCCCCGATCCCCCGAGGTTATTTTCTTCTTTTCAAGGAGAAACAAACTGCTCGGAGGTAGATGCGTAGATACATACGATATATGATAGCACAGACGGAATGGAAAAGGAACAATTACAAAAGTAGCAAATGGAACTTTGAACGGACTTCTTTCATTCTCTATTGACACGTGTGCACGTTACGCGTGCAGAAAAAGTAGACAAGTGCAAAAGAAACGATGGAAAATCAGACGATCAAGCTAAGGTGCTGGCTTACTACTACTCGGTCGTTTTACCAAAGATGCAACTTCTAACCATATCGAGCGAGGCAATCATGCGAAATGTATTATAAGTATTTACATACACACGTACATACACATTACATACACTTATTTTTACAAGTATTTATAAAAGCATGCAATGTAATGTTATAATAATAATAATAGTGATAATAATAATAATAACAATATGTAAAAAGCTGTTTTAAATAAAATGAGCGCGTGACTGGTGTAATTCCTCCTAATCGGAAGATTAAGATTAAGAGAAAAACTGATGGAGAACACTGGTGAAAGAAGACGCGCACATAATGCAAGTACGTACGTAAGTACAATACCAGGTGGAGTGTCCGAATGATGAGTGTAGGAATGACGATCGAAGATGACGATCGAGGGGAAAAAAAAAAAAAAAAAAAGAAAATGCAAAATTACGAAGCGCAAAGCGTTTCTCCGATTCTATCGGTAAATACACAACGAAAAAACAAACGGGCTCCTGGCTGGACGGAAGCCGACTTAGACTCGATTCGACTGGTGAGTTAGCGCGCAACGAAAAGCGTGTTAATACTCGCGATTGGTCGAGTTAAAAGACAGTGGTGAGGGAGAAAACTTTGGATGATGAACGAAAAAAAAAAAAAAAACTCCAATATACCTTTACTTGTACTGGCGGTAACGCAACTGAAGTCTCGTAGTGTCTTATGTGTTTTTCCTTTTTGATATTTGCTGTCAGATTTTTTACCTGTACCTGGAAATTATACGTAGCTACAGGTAGCTTGATTAACGTGCTCTAATATCTGAACGCAGAGTCGGACGTGGCTTGTACATGGTATCTTTTCGTCTTTTCATTTTATAAGCTGTTTCATTCGCTTCTATCTTAAGTCTCGCAAATGAGATCGCATGCTACAAAAGTTGATATCGGTTGTATCGTTAACACTGTCATTTTTCCCTTCTCTCAATCTCTTGCATTCCTAATCGTATCTACTACAGTACGCGACGTCTCACCGTTCTCGAAAAAATAGCTTTCAAAAGAGAAAGAAATAATTTCGAACAGGCCGCTGTTGTACCGCGAACATCCTTCGATTTAATTGCGCACACGTCCGACGAGACTTTCTTCCATCGAGCGTCAGAAATTCCAAAGGCATGCTTGACTCGCAAAAATTAGTTTTCAAAGTGAAACCTAACGAGAAAAGAAAACGAATTAAACGAAAACAAATTTGACGATAGATCTACGTTGTTAAATACAAGATGCCACATACTGTATACACATGTATATAAATATATAAAACCGTTTATATATGTATATGCATATAAAAAAAAAATATATATATATATATATATATATATGTATGTAGATATGCACATGTATATTTACATACATATATGTAAATGTTCGAGTAACTACGCGAAAAATTTCTATCAAATTTCTTATCTATCGTTTAATGCAGGTATAGAATCACGGTTTCCGACTACCTTATGGCATGGCATATCTCTTAAAACTCAACAATTGGACAATAGCGTGTTGACGCGCGATATCATTTGACATCCATCTTCGTCGACGTGTACCATTCTCCTTTTTGTCGAAACTAAAATTAGCAAACGAATTGGCACACCGTCTCAAAATCGTAATTTGTTACCAATTGCTGTTGTACTTGCTGTTGCATTTGCTAACAGAGTAGAGATACACATACATACACTTTTGTTGTTACTGTGTATTATTAAAGTCACAAAACTATGTTAAATATACCTGCAACAACAGCAATAGAATGAAGCGTGTTTTTTTTTTTGCATTTGTAAGTACATATACCGAGTAATGAAATTGTAAATACGTAGAAAAGAGAGAGAGCTGGGAGAAGAGATGTTCGATTCGGGCGATTTAGTAGCTTTGACGTATGTACGAAAGGTATCGGATGCTGAGATACATTGGCTAGATTTACACGAGAGCTCGACAAATTCTTCGTACTCGGCGAGTAGAGAGAAGGAAAACGGTCGGCGAAATGAATCGCGACGTTTGACGCTCGTCGGTTCGTCGATACTTGGGAGGGGGAGGAAATCTCTGCCGGAGAAGGATAGAGAACGACGACGTCGGCGAAGATGAAGGCAGTGACGACAGCCGCGTGAATCTAGACGTGGTGAACCTTGACGAGCGTTCTTCGTCGTACGAGCGCGAGCACCGTGCGAATCTCGAACTAACTGAAACTGATACACGAGTCATGCACGAGTTGTGTGTTCCTTTTGGAAAACGGATGATGGGTTAGCTCTACATTAAACACAAGACGAAGAATTTGCGTATCACGTGAGTTTATTTTTCAAGGATCAAAAACATACAATTTAGACAAGGAGAGAAAAACATGCGCCAGTCGGAGCGGTAGAGATGTACATGTACAATTCAATCGATGAGAAATAGGCGATCAAATACGCAAATGTTATATCTCTAGTTGATTTCAAGAACTGAATCTAATCACTCACTCTCGGTTCTGCGAAAGAAGCCTTCTTGACGCTCGCGTACATACAATATACCCTCTTTCTCGAATTTCTGCGAAGGTTGCGTGGCCAGAGTTAGCAGTTCTTGCTTGTTAAACCGCATCGCGTTTAACACGCCCGTCCACGCTGACTCCGTTGTCCACGTTTTATCCGCGTTTTATCACGTACTCTTCTTTCTCGTTATCTGTCAAGAGATGAAATGATTAGCGACACGTGTGTTGCATCTCGTTCGGTGTTACGTCAGATTCGCAAAGTAAAAAAAGAAAAAAAGCGAAACGAAACGACTGTGAAATGTGGAACGCGGAAAGTGAAACGCAAAATGTGGAAAGAAACGCGGAACGTGAGACGAAATACGTAAAACGAAACGCGAAACGAACCACGGAAACAAAACACGGAATGGAACGTGAAACGAAAAGCAAGTTACTCTGATCTTTGTCCCCGATTTCGATTACGTCCATATGTACAAAAAGATCGAAGTTATCAACCTGTTTCTCTCTTTCTCTCTCTCTCTCTCCATACACACCTTGCAACCTTGCACTTTCTTTTCTCCTCTTTTCCCATGCTCCTCCCTTCCCCTCCTATCCGACCATCCCACATAACCACACTCGATGCTCTCGTTCCTCTTTTTTCTTTCTTTTTTTTAGCACTATCGTCGCGACAGCATACGTTACATACACAAGGATGTTACTCGTCGAGCAAATCGTTGATCAATTTATCGAAAAGTAAACAACGAAAAGTAAATCAATCGTTAAGAAGAATAAACAGAACGAACGATGGAATTGCGACCAGAGATCTACTGCACCGTACTGCCATCATCGAGAGAGTATCGCCTCCTCGCTCACCGTGGTTCGTCTCGTCGAATGCATTTTGTGCTTTTTTGGAACTAAAACCACTATCGGTACAGCTAATGTTAACACAAATCAAACGTCAAACATATGACCATGTATACGTCATGTATAATGTATGTACGTGCGGATGTGAAAATGAAAGGACGTGCTTGCAAGTACACGTGTGAATGCACAGAACCGGACCCGGAGGGTCAAGGGTCAAAGTTTCAGATGAAAATAATTGTCGAACTGAAAGCGAAACGAACGTGTACCGTATTTCGCATTTTCAAGCGGCCGAGGTTCATCGACTATCGAAGGAAAGAGCAAATGGCCGTGGCCGTACTGCCATACGTTCGTTTCGTTCCATCTCGGTATCCTTCGTGAAGATTGCACCATTTCCGAAGATGTCCGATTAAACACGAACAGTTCCGAGTTTCACTCGACAAAATCCCTATCCACGAGCATGTTTTTTCGATACTCGGCATTTTCAACTGCTCCAACGGAACGGATATTAATTATCAATTTAAATAAATTTTTATTTGCCCACACGGTCAAATAGTTTCTTTCCCAACTTGTTTCCTACATTTAACATAAGTATCTGTCTATGCATAGAACATGCTGACGACGACAGTTTTTTAAAGCCGGACAACACAGTAATTGATAGGCACGAATTTACAGTACGCAAAGTCGATCAATTAGACGTAAATAAATTGTGCAACGTGTTAAAGCAGCATGGAATCATTTTTATCTGCATCAAGAGCCGCCGTGGTAAATTTCTGTTTTATTCCAATTAATTCGCTGTAGTGAATAAAATCATGCCAATCCAAGTAAAGTTCGTGATATTCGTTCGCTTCTCTTGAACGAGGGATAAACAGAGTACTTACGAAACCCCTTGCCTGTCTAGCTGCATTTTGCAAAAATCTAACCACACGGTCCAGTACATTTTTAACGACTGCACGTCATAGAATAGACGTGTAACATACGAGACAGGTAGAAGATTAATATGTAACTGAACGATTGATGATTGAATCACTACCTTTGTATACTTACACATTTTCATTGCTAGAAAAAAGGCAGGGATAAAAAAACAATGAATCTTGTTTAACGTCTATTGCGTAACGATACATTATGGTTATTAATTTTATTAAAATTATTCCTTTGTAGATCAACATGTCGATATAATGCAGTACATACTTGTACTGCATTATACAGTAACTGCATTACAAAGCTAACGTCAAATAAAATTAAATTTTCCGCCTATTTATACCTATTCGTAGTTATTATTATTCTTCAGTTACATACGTTTGTTTTAATACATAATGTATTCAGGTCTGAAAGTAATTGTACAATATTTTCAACATAATTTCAACATACATATACATGTACATAAAACTACAGTTGGCAGCAATTGTACGTACCGCTTCATGGATAGTTTCACTTCGCGTCTTTTGCGCGCCAAATTTTTGAGGTAATTGAAATTGTTGGTTATTAACAAATTGCGACGTGTTATTGCATTTAAAAAAAAAAAAAGAAAAGAAAAGAGCAAGGACTGATATGAAATTATAAGTTTTTTATTTTGTGAGTAGAAAAATAAAAATAAAGTTGAAAAACGTAAGCTATGATCCAGTTATTTATCCGTACAAATTGCTACTTTATACAAGTATACGCAAAGATGATCAAATGACGAAATCTAGTTAAGTTAAGTAAATTTAAAAATGTACAAATGAAAAAGATAGACGGATGGATAATATTGCACGTGTAGTAGAAAAAGTATTGAAAAAAAAAAAAATTTAACGAAGTATTACTTTGCATGTTATTCCAGTTGAATCTGTCGGCTTACAAAAGAATCCGCATCGTTCGGGGCAATGAAACTTGTGATTTAGATTCAGCCGTATCGACGTTGATTCAAGCCTTCTCCGAGTATTTGGACGGAATTGAAAGTAAGGAAACAGATTTAGCAACCATACCGTTAATGAATATACCCAAGAGAGAGTATCGCGTGAAAACCGAAGTTGTATTTTTTTTCGACCTTCACAACATACCGTCCGACTTGCTAATATTCCGGTAAGTTTCCAGATTTTCTAACGGAAAACGTTACGGAATATACGAAGACTATGCGAGTTGCGTTGGCAAGTAAATCGTATTGCATACAGGGTGTCCCTACTCCTGTATAACTTCACCAGTGGATTCTGACGGGTGAAAATAAGAGAAAAATGTCACACAGACATATGCTCAAAGATACTTTGTTAAGGAACTGTTGGGGCCAAGAGTACGTATGTATGTTATGACATGGATATGCTGTCCGTCTAACTTTTGTGTAGCATGTAAATCTTACTCACAAGTAAAAGTGAGATCTGGTGATCTTGGACACCAAGGAATTAATCCTTCTGGACCTATCAATTTTTGTGAATAATGCTGATTTAGTTATTGCCTCACTTGTAGCGTGTAGGACAATCATCTAATTATATCTAATTAAATTTAATTTAGACAATGGCACGTCCCTTAAAATCTCTGTCTTTAATTCATTCTGCAGAAAACTCAAAAAAAAAAAAAAAAAGAACGACTTCAACTGCCAGGCTCAACAGATTAAATAAATATTGTCGATCTGTCCTCATGTTGCATCCAAGCGAAAACTATACTATACTGTTATTTCGAATTTGAAGATCTGGGCATATGTTTGTACGACATTTATTTTTTTTTTTCTTATTTTAAGTTACGATTAAAAAAGTAGGGAGACCCTGTACAGTATAGATTACAAATGATTGCACTTTGTAGGGATCAAATAGATTTGAAAGCATTGAAGGAAAATACGAAAATAAAATTGGAAACGGTGCTTGTTGATCATCATAACCTTTCGGACGAGGACATGTACTTGATGGATTCTGTAGTAAAAATAATCGATCACAGACCGCGAGACGAGCGATGGTCATGGCCTGGCGGGGAAATACATCTGGAAAGCGTAGGCAGCTGCGCGACACTGGTGGCGCGAAATTTGTTCGATAAGCATCCACATATGATAGACTCGCAGATATCGAGTCTTTTAAGAGGCAAGTTAACAAGCGAGCAAATAACTCACGCTTCGATGAAATAGTAATCGAATAGATTGTTCAAGCATCAATTTGATCAGAAAATGGTCTCGATGTAATTGTTGTAACTTTGATAGGTCCGATATTAATCGATACTTGTAATTTCGCAAAAGAGGCCAACCGTGCTACTATCGTCGACGTCGAAGTGACGAATGCTCTTGAAAAAGCCGGATCGTTAAGTCTCGACAGAGACAAAGTATTTAACGAGATCGTCGAAGCAAAGTCCGACATTAGCAGATTAACTACCGACGATCTTTTAATCAGAGATTTAAAAGTGACTAGTGGAATACCGATCGTTGGATTGCCTATGTTAGTAAAGGTATATTTTATTGCTTTTTTGTATGAATTTTAGTTTCTTCGGTTTGCTTATAATCTACATATGTATATGTGGGCGATATCACGTTTCAGGATTTCCTTAATTTGCAAGACAGTCGTCTGGAAGGTCTTGGAAACTTTGCCAAATGTAGAAACACTACGTTAGTCATCCTAATAGGATTGAAACTTGATTCGCAAAGTGTATCTCGAGATATCGCTATTTTTTCATTGGGCACCGATCGACTGAGAGAAAAGGTTCGCATAGTCATTCTATTTTTATTTCGCCTGATCCGTTAAGAGACGCGACTATACATCAATTCAAATACAATCGACAGATAACGAATGCCCTGACAGCATCTACGCAACCCTGTCTCGAGTTGAATTTCATTAGAAAAATTCACCAGGAAGATGGAGACTTTATTCTGCTTCTTTACGAGCAAAAAAATTTATGCGTCACAAGAAAACAGATTTTACCGATCGTTCGACATGTCGTTTCGTTGGAGTGTGCCAACAATAAGTAACTATTCGTGATAGAATCGTTTACAAAGTTGCATTAGTTAATTTGCAAAGGAGAAGACTTTGATTTTTCGAGTTTTCTTTAAAATAGAAACAATAAGAAATAAAACGATTCATCTTATTTTGAACTAAATTGTTTCGAAATTCATTAACACGGAAGAAGAAACTAATACGATACTCGATATTAATTTGATAAATATGAAATACCATTTTCATTGGTACAGGTAATCTGTGTGTTTTATTAATACTTATTAATAAAAAATAAACTTATAAAATCATTCTATTGTACCCTTGTACCTATTCTATTTCTTTTATTGCAGTGAGTGAGAGAATGAGAGAGAGAGAGAGAGAGAGAAAGAGAGAGAGAGAGAGAACGATCGATACGGTTACAAGTTAATAGCGATTACTTCAATTTTCTTTGTGTTAATTATGCTCTTTGCTGAGTGTAACGTATACAAAACGTATCGATATTATTGCAATGGCATCAAGATCATCACTATGATCGAAAAATACATTGGAAGGATATTCCCCTGTGTCCCCTTTCACCCCACTCTTTTCCATCTCTTCTCCTATCTCGGAGCAAGCTCACCATCACAAGCCGATACCATGGATGTTGGGCTAAAGCTTTGGACCAGCGCGGTGGAGCTTGCATCGAACTACGTTTCGCGAGAAAACGCGACGAGAGGAACGAGCTCGTTCGTTGAAAGGAATCAGAAAATCGGCCGGACGTGGGATAATTTGTTAATTGTACAGTGTACGTGGCAACGTATTTTGCAAGTTCGCGTTTCTCTCATCTGCAATTAGGACACGCGTTAACATATAGACGCATAGAGAAAGAAAGAAAGTAAGAAGAAAGAAAAAGAAAAGAGCAAATTGAAATTACGAAAGTTGGTGCATTTTTAACTCGCGACTAGTTTTTGCAACGATGATAAAATTCTGCAGGTTTTCGAAACTCTCTGTTTTCACGTATGCAGTGTACGGAACAGGTGCCAAGTGTCGACCTTAAAAGGTAAGCACCCGGCGATATTATTTCAACTTTTTGATAAATCTGTCAAATGTGAGAGATCAAAACATAAGGTATCGTGTCGCATCGATTGCAAAGAAGACGTACAAGTTCCACGTTTTACAATCGATACGATCCATTTCACACTTCGATGGGTGTGGAAAAGATTCGATAATTTTTTTTTTTTTTTATCGTCACGTTTTTTATAACTGAATCAAATGAAATTATGCATATTGTGAATATATTGCGGACATTTGTGCGTTTGTGGCAAATTTAATCGTATAAAAATGCGAACGACGAGTGAAAAGTATATATAAAATATCAAAATTATACTACTCGTTAAATCCTGTATTTACCAAACTATGAATTCACACATTTGCAATTTGCTTATGAAACTAGAATTAAGAAGGAAAGTAAAGCAAAGATTGTGTCTCATTCCGCGCTCAATCTCAATTTTTCGCGACCAATTTTTCAATTTTCTTTTCTTATTCGATATCACCCGAGCGAAAATGAGTTTGTTTACTATTTAACCGATTCAGAGAATTAAAAATCTATCATCTCGATCTCAGCTTTCTTTATCGTGCGTGAGTCGCGAGATTTAAATAATCAATCGAGATCAAATCCTTTTCATCCTCTTCGCTATCCCGCTTTGATTAACATCGGGCATGTGCAGGAATTTTATTAAAATCAGTGTACGTGCGCGTGCAAGTAAATACAGTAAGCGAAAGAAAGGTGATGAAATTTCTGTTCGAAAGAGAGAGGGAGAGAGAGAGAGAGAAAGAGAGAGAGAGACAGACGTAAAAAATCGGCTGGAACATCCTGCTTGCGTTTACGTTTTCATTTCTGGACCGAAACGATACTACGGATAAGTGGTATAGCCGTTTGTCGAAGGTGGACAAAAATCCAAGCAAACGAGGTGAATGGAGCGGACAAGCGAAACATGGACATGCTCTTCCTTCCTGCGGCACGCTCGTATTGATCGTACTCTACTTGTTGCACGCATACCCATCCAGGGCCCCGTGCGCATTCCCTAACCCTCTTTGTCTTCATTTTCCATCGGTGAATCTAATTAACGGGCAACCTGCGAATTGCCAGCTGCTGTTGCGAACTGCCAACCGTGCAAGCGGTTTACACGTACATACATACGCTATTGCCATAGCGATGCCGGTAGTTTCAATGTTTTTTTTTTTTTTTTTTCCCACTCTCAATCATCGACCATTCTTTATCGATTCTTTTCAGATCGTTTTCCTTTCCTGATCGAACATGCCTGAACTCTCGTGTATCGAATCTTGCGTGTTATCGCGCAACCCTTTCTCTCTTCTTCAATTTCGCATGTTTTTCTTTTTTCTCTTTTTTTTTCCTCCACCCATTTGCCACATTTCGACTCAACAGCATTTACAATCTGCAGCTGTACGTCGCTCTTGATAAAAATTTCGCTGTGGCTTGGAAAAAAAAGAGATATTCGATCGCTACACCCGCTACACAATATTGTAATCGATAGTTACAGCAGGTATACGATTAGACAGTCGAGCAATGCACAATTACCGTTTCAGAAAACGAAACAATGTTAGCAGAGGACTCGATCTATCATGAACAATAAAGAAGTCGAGAACGACAGAAGATCCGGATATCGAGATGCGGTGTATGCTAACGATTGTCTCACTGGGAGTGCTTCTAGCAACAATTGTTCACGGAGAAAATTCAACGAAGAACGTTTTCGGTGAGGAAGAAAAAGAGAGAGAGAAAATCTTATATTAATTATGTAATGTAATAAAATTGACACAAGGGTAACGATTCGATGATAAGAAGAATGATTTTGTTGCACGTGCGATGTTAAAGAAAATTTGAAAGAGTTTGAAAGATTGAATAAAAATACATAGGTGTACAGTCAGATAATTTAGATAATGTATACATACGTACAGATAACGCGTGTCGTTTTCCAACTTGTAGGTCAGTGCATCTTCCCGCTTGGTATGGAAGAAGGAAAAATTCCAGATGATGCAATCACTGCTTCTTCTAGCTACGAAACGAAATCGGTGGGCCCTCAAAACGCAAGGTACGTAAACGTCGGTGATAGACGATGAAATTGATTCGCCATAGAGTTACTTGTGATTTTTGTGTTACTTTAGGTTTACTTTGTTACCAACGGTCAAGTAGGTAAAACAAATAAATAGTAGGAATAAAGCAAAAGTTCTTGGTAAACTGACGTTAGAGATCATCTGTTTCAAATTAGCCATCACAAAGTTGTACCTCATACTACTTGTGCACAATGTAGAATGAATGTTTTAAGTTTTCGAAACGTGATGTTAAATCAGATAGATAGAAAATTAACTTACACCGTTTCCGCATCAAACGATTAATAAGATGAAAATTATTCGTATCGAAGATAAAGTTTGAATCTAAGTATAAAATGGTACAATATGGTTTAGTATGTATGTATATATTTATTTCAGCCTCTTTGGCCTTGAAATTGACTTTGGTTTTTACATTGCTTTCTCTTAACGTTGCACATTTCACATTGCATTTATCCTAAATTTTACATGTAATATTTTTGTATCCTATTTTGCTTTGTCCTGTACTTATATTTATCTTAACTATGCTATTCTTTCGTCTACTTAAGTATCTTAACCTAATTTTTTCATTTTATTTCATGTTTATTTTGTTGCTCTCTTCTTTCCAGACCCTCATTATCTCTTCTTTCTCTTCTCCCTGTCTCTTTATCTTTCCAGCATTCCCTTGACACCTCTTCACCCGCCTTGATCTTATTCCTTGTTTCTGTGTACATTTTTCTTGTCCTGTTCACTAAGCCTTTACCAATACCTGCCTTTTCCATAGTTTCCCATAGCTTTTCCCTGACTATTTTATCAAAGGCCGCCCTTGGGTCTATAACATGGTTTAGTATCATACTGCGTTATAGCACAGCGTTGGTAAGAACATGTTGGCAAGATAATTATTAATTAATTATCGTTTGCAGGATACGACAAGAGAAGAATGGTGGCGCTTGGTGCCCAAAAGCGCAAATCAGTAGCGCGATACGGGAATATCTGGAGATCGATCTGACCAGAAATCATCTAATAGCGTGGACCGAGACTCAAGGACGGTTTGGGAATGGCCAGGGTCAGGAGTACGCGGAGGCTTTCTTTCTCGAGTACTGGCGCGACACGAAATGGCATCAATATAAAAATTTGATGGGTGACAGAGTTCGTGTCTGTGGTTGATAAGTTGATGGAGAAGTCGTCCGCATTGTTTCGAATTTGAGCATCGTCGTCTCGCATCGAATGCACGAGCACACCCGTTTCTCCACTTATCCGTTTCCACGTGAATGAAAATCGCGTAAATAGAGTCTGTCGGCACAATTTTTATTTTCATCTCTAAAAACATGGATTTTCTCTTCCTCTTCGTGTAGCTGAACGTTTGTTAAACGTATCTGGGTTAAAATTACAACATAAATCTGAACAGTAAAAGCGGTAAAAACGTTGCTTACTTACCTTGTATTGATTAATATACCGTTGCTAAGACCGACTGTTTAAGACTGATTCTAACGTCTGTATGTTTAAATCAATGCTTTTTACGCGTGTAAAAGGCACCGCGTAGTCTTATAATTTACCGCGTAAGAGTGCCACGTAAATGAAGGGACGGGTGCACTTGTACGTGTAGGGTAGTTTCCACACTGTTCAGGCACCTGTTTAAAATGTCTAAAAAAAAAGTAAGACAGAGAGAAATTCGAAAGATACAATAAAGTTATCGTCGGTTACTCTCAAAGAAAAAAAAACACACACACACAGTCCAACGCTCTGATCGGTTCTCAAAAACAAAGCGAGACATCTTCGGTGAGATTGTCAATGCTGTCGACATAGATATTAGGTATGTACGTTTCTTTTAGGTATTACGAGGCAACAGTAATACCTACTTGGTGGAGAAGCAGAAGTTGGACTTGCCGTTTGTCGCGAGCAAAGTGCGATTTGTACCTTACAGCCAACATCCCCGGACGGTTTGCATGCGAGTCGAAATTTACGGATGCGTGTGGGAACGTGAGCAATTATATATATATATCTGTACACGTGTATTTGTCGTATAATTTATTGTAGGTACAAAAGATCGTTTATAACTCTGAAACTATTAATTTTTCCACCCATGTTTACTACAACTTTTTTTTTCTTATGTTTCGGCGAGTACTGTTTGCCCCAAAAGTTACGAACCCTTATTTCTATTCATTCTGTATACGTATGTGTATATACACATACAGTGAGCAACGAAAGCATTCGAACGGCATGATAGAAAATAATTGACTATACAAAAATTGTATAATAAATTGCAATTTATTGAAACAAATTGTTTTTATACTGTTATATATACATTTGCTAAATATATGCCAAGTTGGAGAAAAATTATACCATAGTTAAACAAATTACATAACATTTTTCACGGATAAGTACGTACAGGGCATAACAAAAGTATTCGAACGCAATTTTAATAGTCATGATAGAATGCAATATATGTGATTATATTGCATTTTAATATCTTCCTGCCTCTGATGTTTTACCACCCATCATTTTGAATTACAGTTTAACGTTTAACTTTCGGTTCCGTTTGCTCTCAAATACCATTGAAAACACACTGAAGATCTTTTATTTTACATTTAGACCTCGCGACAGTCTTGCGTTTACAATGTATAGTGTTTATAATTCAGCGTTCGAATACATTTTTGTTATGCCTTACATGCACTTACCCGTGAAAAATGCTATGTAATTTGTTTACTTATTTGTTTAATTTCTCTCCAACTTTGCATATATTTAGCAAATGTATATACAATAGTGTAGCAATCCCGGACGAGCCAATTTGTAGGAATCCTGACTTGAGACCCCAATTTGTAGGAATTTTGATAAAAGTCCCAGGCCTAACTTTCTCTACTGTTTATCCTACACCACTTGGGATATCTGCAATCGTCGGGCACTGGAGAGAAGTTCTGGGCCCGTTCCCAGAATTTGACCATCCCACAATAGTATAAAAACAATTTGTTTCAATAAATTGCAATTTATTATACAATTTTTGTATAATCAATTATTTTCTAACATGCCGTTCGAATACTTTCGTTCCTCACTGTACGTTGTACAAACATCGATCATTTTTTTCGTAGAATATGTCGCGAGTTACAGCGCGCCCAAGGGATCAAGCCCCGGTCCCGGAGGACGAAGCGTTCGAGATTCCTCGTACGACGGTACCGAGCTAGACTCCTTTCTCGTAAATGGCCTCGGTCAACTGACGGACGGGATATTGGGCGAGATTTCGGAAATTCTTACCTCCTCGGTCAACGACACGAATTGGGTAGGCTGGTCGGACCGTACGACGATCCAGATTGTTTTTCGCTTTCAAGAAGTACGAGAATTTCAGAATTGTACTGTACACGTCGCACGTATACCGCAACTACACGTCGAGGTTCGTTTCTCTCTATTTTTCTTCTTCGTTCCTTTCTTTTCACACACGCAGACATACTCAACATTCAAATTCTTTCCTTTCTTCAATTTTTAAATCGTCACATCGCCTAAATCAACTTTTTACTTTTTTAGACGTTCTCAATGATGCGCGTTTGGTTTTCCATCGACGGCGAGAACTATCGGCCGGAGATAGAAAAATCGGAATGGCCGGTCGACGTCAGTTCGGCGGCTGCCGAGACAGTTCTGATCTCGATCCCTTTGGAATCGAAAATCGGGCAATTTGTAAAAGTGGAATTCAGTCTTGCCGCGAAATGGTTGCTCCTTAGCGAAATCACCTTTTACACTGGTAAGAGCAGACTCTATTTAGACTTTAGATAATCGGCACATACGAATATACATAGAAATCAAAGGATTAACTTTTTGGCGATTAACTCCTGTTGACGCTTTCAAAATCTGCTTGCATCGTGGTACTTCCGCTGAAACGAGAGTCGCCTGTCGGCGCTCACTCCACATTGCTCGAGTCGAAATAAACACGCCTACATTTATGTTTACATAAAACAAATTTTACTATACAAAATACAGCTCAGGTAGAACATACGTATGTAAATCGAAAGGTAAAAATACCGACAACGAGCCTCCTCGTTTGACGCAAAGATATCTTCTGTCTGCATATATAAATAATACGACAATTTGGAAAAATGCAAGGCGCAAATGTGTAGAAAACATAACAGAAAAATAGAGACGCAAGAAATGTGACGTCGGATTAATTATGTTTTAAATTGTACCACACTTTACTAGATTATTAGATATATTACATTTATTACATTTGTATGATACTATCTATATCAATGATGGAGAACCTATAACCCACGCAGGCTTTTTAAATGACCCACGCATTGATTTTTATAAACTTATCATCATATATATAAAAGAATTTTAATTATTTTCCAAAAAACCTCTCTTTTCAAAAAATGTTAAGAAAATTACAAGTGTTCGGTTAGAGCTTAAAAGTGAGAAATAAAAATGCATAATTGCGTTTTATGGAGGATTTACCCTTATGTATTTTAAGTCTTAAATGTTATACGAGTTAGTTGTGTCCAAAAAATTTTATATAGCACTAAAAAACATACTAGATCCCATTCTCAGAATGGGTAACTTTGCTAGTTTTTTTAATATAATAAAAGAGAGAACAGACAATAAAAAATATGAAGAAATAAAGTATATATATCCAATGTATAGTGCAGGGGTGACTGGGCACGATGTCACCCCTTTTATATCAATTCTTTGACGTCGACATTTCTTTTTTGCATTTCTTCACTTGCAAAAGTAAAAGTTGTCAAATACAGAAAGGAAACGTAAACCTTTTAGAGGATTATAAAAGTGAGAACCAAAAGAAAAAAAAAAAGTAGTTTTTAACCATCCTCCCCTCCCCCTTTCCAAGTGACGCCACTGACTTGGTGAGCCACGAGCGAGTACTAAAAGAAATAACGAACAAAATTTTACCTACTTCTCTGAAAAGGGTTCGCCGTCAGTGACCTAGGTCGATTGGTGCGTTGCGAGGTAAATTTTGGCCCGCTGTCGTTAAGACTTGTATTTCTCTTCTTCCTTCTTCCTTTCCTATCTGTATTTGTTTGACAAAAATTGCAGCGAAGCAGCAATCCTGGTTTTCTAACGACTGTCAGCTTCCGAGCTAGCGACGGACTGACCTTGGAGACGAAAGTGAGGATAACGGCGTACGACGTCAGGGAACGCGTGAGTCAAACGGCGACACCGATCGGGAGCGCGATCGTTACGTTGAACGCGGTTCAAGATACACCCAGGTAACTTTACCTGCGATCTTCGTTACCATTCCACTGCTCGTTCCGCCTGCTCGTGTCTCTGACTAGCGGTTATTGAACGATTTTAGGCTAAGGATACCGTTGAAATCGGCAAAAACAACGACCGTCGGTTTCTTGACGATCAACGTGTGGAATTTGGAAGCGGAAGACAGGGGGAACAGTACGGAAAGCACTCCGTCGAAGGAACCCTCCTCCGCGATGAACCATCAGGTAAATACCGATTGATCGTAAGACTTTCCCCTTTCATCCCCAGACTTTCCGTTTCTGTAGTTCCTCATTTTCGTTGCCTGCATTCCGGTGTGTGTGTGTGTGTGTTGGCTTCTCCTAGGTACTGTCGCACAGACGATCGCAATCATTACCGCCTAGATTGGGAACGAAAATCAAGTTGCCGCATCAAGGACAGCTGAAGCTCCTGTTTGCCAATCCGTACATACAGACATACAGGTATAACTTTTACGATCAATTAAATTTACGCGTAATTCTTCTTTTCCTTTTCTCTATTTTTCTTTTCTTTTATTTTTTTTTTTCTTTCTTTCTTTCTTTCTTTTCTTTCTTTCTTTGTTGTCAGCGTTGCTTTTGCAGCAACCGTGCGTCGTCGTTTCAGATTTCACTCGGGCCTAGGCGGTGACATTTGCGTACACGAAATCATGGCAGAGAGCAAACTTTGTTTCCAATTTCCGCAGCATTTACTGTGAGTGTTCCTCGTTGCGTAAATCTTCCACGAGTTCGTTCAAGTCTGGTCTCTCGGCTTGAACAAAGTGGCAAATGCCAGGTCGTATTTTATCTCGTTCGTTCAGAATCGTCAGAGGTCTGATTCTTCTGTCCTTGCAGTGCAATTTGGATTCAAGAAGAGAAGGAACTGCTGCAGGAAGTGGCCGGTATGGGTGAACTGAGAGAACCCTGGCACACGAGGCAAGTCGAGTTGCTCGATCGGCATCTGCATCTTTTGCATCTTTATTCGCAAGCTAAAGAGAATTTGGCTGCGTTCAAAGGTAAGCCCACCACATGTCATCACTATGAAAATCACCAATTCACTTGTATGTCTCGTTGTGATGATGGAATAACGTCTGTAGGAAGTTATTTCAAGCGATCGTCACGTAGGAACGATAGAACGTTCGAATTTGCACCTGTTAACTTACATCTTCAGAGAATGTGGGTGCATAACGATACGTTAAACAGATGTGGATTTTACGACTTTATCACTGTCGGAGCGTTCACCGCGCATTCGCATAAGAGTAAAAACGGCGGACTCATTAGGTAACTTGTATATCTATATGATTCTATGGTCATTGATAGAACAGTGTAACGGATGAGAGAGAGAGAGAGAGAGAGAGAGAGAGGGAGAGAGAGAGAGAGAGGGAGAGAGAGACGGGTTCGATAGATGATTAGTAGTTAGATGATTATGTGAAATGGAGAGGTACGAGAAATAGTTCTGACCATTTGTTTAAACTGTCTGGCAGGTTGCTGCAAGCTTTAAAGGAATCGCCAACGCGTGGCAATCAGTTGTATCAAGGCACGTCGAAGATAACGATGGCGCACGATGCTATTCAAGCGATTAAACAACTCCGGCGAGACGTTGTCGACGCTATGCGCGCACTGATGAAACTCGCCAAAGACAAGCAAACTAGCGGCATGTTGCCAATTTGCGAGGATATGATCACAAAGACGAGAATTTTACTCAGTCTGTGGGATCCTGGCTTGGTCGAGGAGGCGTTGACTTTCCTGGAGGAGTATAAAGTGGCCAAGATTCACGAAACCTCCAACGACAATGCTCTCAACTTGGACTTTAAAACGAACCAGTCGCTCTCTCCTTTCAAACGGATCACGCAGCAGTTGAACTTTGACCTGAAAAGTCCGGACTTTGACGACTTTGTTACGCCTGACACTCCGGAATGCGTGAAAGATCTATGGACGAAGGAGAGCGAGAGGAACGGCTTCACGGCCTCGTTTCCCTCGACCTATCGCGTTAATTCCAAGACGCAAGGCCACCAAGGTGAAGATAACGGGGCCGGCGATCGAAAGGAGGAAGAAAATTTTGTTATTTTTCCAGATGTCGAAAACGACGCTACAGACTCGGTGATTGTCGAAACGCGCGCGGAAACGACCAATCGAAACGACGATAACGACAACGACAACGACAACGACAACGACAATGACAATGACAATGAAAACGACAACGACAACGACAACGACGACGACAACAACGGAAACGATTCTGTCGTAGGAAACGACACTATCGTAGCAGCTGGCACCAAGTGCGAGGATAACGAGGGACGAGAGGAGGAAGTTAAAGGCGACATCGACCCGTGCAAACGCTTCCTGGATACTCAAAAGATGTGCAACTCGCCGTCTGCCAATTATTACAAGCCCACCGACGAGCCGGAACCGTGGGATCTCACCCAACTGAACATCGAGGCGAGTGTAATGTGTTTGGTGTCGAAAGTAAAGTTTCTCTGCGGAAGGTGCAGCAGCCCGGCTGTACGGCTGCGGAATAAAAACGTCGTGGGCCGATCGCACAGCTTGAGGGGATGCATTTCGAGCAGTCGCGGCAAGACCGTCCACGTCGTGACGATTCAGCCGAAAAATGACGTTAAGAGTAACGACGAGTCGAGCAAGTTGCTCGACGCCTCGACGACCGACAGTCGTACAAATTTTAAGCAACAACCGAGCTCAAGCTCGGAAAAGATGCCAGCCTTCTCCAAAGCCAAAGAAGGTAAGTCGAACCAAGTAAGATTTTCCGTTCTCACTCCTAGTTACATGGTTGTGTATCTTTAGGTTTGAAATCATTTTCCATTTGAAAGAAAAAAAAAAAAAAAAAAAAATGAATTCAGAAAGAGAACCAAGTGAAATAGAAAATGATCGATTTGTTATTTATTATTAGTCGTTTGTTCGTTTCGTTTTTATTCCTGTTTGATGTACCGTGTTTGTTGTAAAGTATGCCAGGCTGTTGATTCGATGACAAGAGTGATTAAAAGTAATTCAGGACAAAGGAACAAGTTCACCGAAGGCTTGGATTTTGCCACGATTGTTGATTGGACGAGCGAGCTCCGACCGAGCATGAAGAAGCTACGACAAGCTATGGACGGGTTATTGAAAACCGCTCGATTGACGCATTCGGTGTTCAGGGTACAAGAAGACCCGAAAATAGCTCAACGCGCTTGCAACGTTCGATACAGACGAGACGTGTGCTTTAGTCAAGCGGTAAGCGTTTGTTTTTGTTTCGTTTCTTCTTTTTTCTCACTCTCACTCTCTCTCTCGAATACTCTTCCTTTAATTTATCGTTCTCTTGATTGCTTAATCGTTTGGTTACTTGGACCAATTACGAGAGAAAAACTTCAATTTTTGGACATCAGTGTCATTTCAAAGTTATGCTCTTTTCACATCTCTTTCACGTGTTGTTTTTTTACTAGCGACACTAAAAAGATACATAGTTGCGCGAAAAAAAAAAAAAAATACCTTGAAAATTTCGGAAAAAATGACAATTAACGACTAAAGTATTAAATATTCGTAGCAAAGAAATTGAAATGCAAGATATAAATGCAAAAAAAAGTTAGTAGTAACACAATAGAACACAAGCTTGTAGCAATGTATTTTCTTAAAAATTACTCACAGCATTTACAAATATACTGTTATAAATATAATAAAATTTCCATGGAAAATTATATTATATTCGTCATTCTGACCATCTTTCTAGTAATTCTACGGTTAAATGCTCTACTATACTACATGCTGTATACATACGTAGATACAGTATAGATAGATTATTGTAATAATCTCGAGTCGTGATTTCAGTTGACCAGCTTGGTATCGGGACTGATGGCGAAGCTTTGGTGTCAAAGACCCGACCCCATGTTTCTTTTGATTTTGACCACTCTTGGCCCCCTGGTCTCGTTCGAGGGACTTCTCAGTTATTACGGGGACGAGATCGACATGTGGGGAGACATGACCGTGGCGGTCGAGGATATGCACACTGTAACTTTCACGCTGACCAGGTGCGGGATTGAACCAAGGTTAGCACCGTCTAATGGAGTCAACACGCTTATAATTTCGAAGAGTTTATTCCTTGTTACAGTCGTGGTCTATGAAATAGAATGATTTAGACAATGTTCTTGTACAATATAGAATATAACGTAGAATGTCTTTATAATGATGTAAAAAGTCTAGGAATACTCTTAACGATAGACTGTCTAATGCTTTTAATGATATAGAATGTCTCTATAATGATTTAGAATCTCTAATGCTTTTTAATGTCTCTAAAGCATGTCCTTAGATATATATATTTGGTTATCTGCCCATATATATATCTTGCCCTTATCCACAGTAACTATTCACAGTCCACTTTTATGTGGATTGCTAGCTCATTGTCAGTGTTAGTGTACAGATTCAGTGTCGTCCGGGTTGGTCATCCCAACAAGCGTATATACAAGTGAACAGATACTCTGCAACGACAAATAGAACAGAATTGCAAGAATTGTAGTCGCTGGTGTCACTGGTTTCAGATTTGAGGGAAATTGCAACGTTCCGTTTCAACAACCACTACCAAGAGTGCTTGGTTCCCGAGCGGCGTTGACGGTCGTGTTGCCCGTGCCGGATGCAATCTATTCTCTGCTGCCGTTGGTTCCCACTTCCAGGCAAACCATCTCCTTCAACGTCACCCCAGTTTTCTTCAACGTCGGTATCAACGAAATGGCTTCACTGGCGGAGAGTCTCGGAACGACGAAACCCCAGGAGAAAAGCAATATGGACAATTTCGAAAGACTGAACGAGTATTATTTGCGATTCAAGAAACTCAACTTGCCAACAGAGACACTGTCGACGCGACGTGAGTTCTTGCTCTTCGTTTCTCCATTTAAATACATATATCGACAGTGTACAGGGTGTTACTTTTGGTCAGGAAATTTTTCTCGGAACTGGGAAAACAAGAAAAAAACAAAGTTGTAGAAACAAAGTAGTGGTTTACTGTAATACAGCAAACTGTACACAGCAGAGCACTGTGTAACAATTTCTTATATTTACAATATTTTTCACCTTTAGAAATTAAGACCTTTGATTTTTTTATATAGGATGCTCCTTTTGTTTGTTTGTCGTGTGAAAAAGACTGTCAAGACGAATTCAAACGTGTATGATCTGAAACAATTTTCTTTAGAGTTACGAACGAGAGAAATAATTAAAATTAAATTTAGGACGAGTCGCGGGTATTTTCCTATTTTTTTCCGAGAAAAATGCTGAACAATATGTAGTCTTGTGATCTTGATGTTTTTGACGATCACTCTTCTCTACTTGTCGTTTTGAATTGGAAATAGTTGGTGCGAGATCGCCGCTTGGCCAAACATTGGCGGAGCTGATGGTCAATCTGAAGGCAAGCGTTCAAGCGAAAGTAAACAAGAACGTGGAAGTGTTGCAATTGTCCTCTCAAATTTGTCGGAGAATGCGCGGCCTGAGATTTACCAGCTGTAAAAGTGCGAAGGATCGCACGGGGATGTCAGTTACGTTGGAGCAAGTGAACATCCTGAGCGCCGAGTATCACCTGGCCGAACACGAATACACGAAAGCGCTCGACTGTATGCGAAGGTTAATTTCTTCTCTTCATCCACAGTATACAGTAGACTTCAGTATAATGCGAGTGCTAGATATTGGCAAGATATTGCGACTACTATTTTCATGTGACGCGATTCCTCGTAACAGGAATTGTTCGAAAGAAAAGTTTGTCCGTGTCTATCACGAAGATGAATTCTACTTTTTCTTCTTCTTCTTCTTCTTCTTCTTCTTCTTCTTCGATTTGAAGAAGAAATGCATCATCGTCACCGACTTTTTCTTTGTTTCATAATTGTTTCGTTTTTTGACACGGTCATTTTGACACGAGTCAAGTTTCTATGAAATAAAAAAAAAAAAAAAAAGAAAGTTTTTATTACATAGCAATAATCGTTCCGTTCGATAAACGTGTCACTACTTTAGATTATTCGAGAAAAATTCTCGCACAGCGCAACATGATTCTTTACAACGCGCTTCTTTGCAACGGGAGTCTACTACTATGATATGATAGTATTGCATCATTGTTTCGACGATACGATAATGTTGTTTTTCACGTTACAGCGAAGGATGTCGACGGGAGAACACGTGGAAGAACATCGGAATTCGGAAATACGCGTTCAACAGCTTGCAAATACTGACATTTCCGAAACTGTATCGGCCACCGACAGGGACCTACGGATCGGCGCAAACCTAATCGTTTAATTCGTGACCTTGTCGCGTGTTACGCGCGGCACAGGGATCCATTCGAGTAAAAAAACGAGAAAGAGAGGTGGAGAGGAAGCGAAGTAACTCGATTATACCAGACGGAATAATTTTTTTCGTACAAATTACACGTAAATAAGTCTCGTTCTTTTGACAAAGTCGATCGAGGATTCGTAATCGAGTCGCGCTACGGAAACGAACAAATTCTTTGAGACGATCGCGTGCGCATCCGCGCTCGATTCTACGCGAGAACGAAAGAGATAGAGTGCCATTTCGTTTGATACCATCGCCTGTTAATACAGAGATCGTGAAATTTTGAAACGATGTATTTTTATTATTTCTGTACATAGAATTTCACCTTAGATTAAGAGTATAACACGCGAAATGGAATAGGAATTTTATCGAAATTCGCGTTATGTGCCAATATAACGATATAACGATATAATTTGTTGTAATTTATCAAGATCCGTTTATCCCCCGACGATGATTGGCGAGAGCGAGCGAAACACGAACAAAATGCGAGTTGTATTTGAATCGACTACACCTTCGAAGCACGAACCAATGAAGTAATGTTCGATCATTGTTGCGTTTAAAATCACATGTCTAAAATATACGCGAATTTGGTTGGTTGATTCTGATCAAGAACAAAGTTTGACTCTTTTAAAAAGCACAGCACGCACAAACGTTGTAGTTTATTTGGGAATCAAACAGCTTTTGAAATTTATTTGAAAGAGAAAATTCGAAAATTGGAAGAATTGTTGGGAGGAAATCTTTGGCGGGAATTTCTCGACGAGCACCCGCAGTAGATACACACACACACACACACACACACACACACATATATATACATACACAGGGTGTTTCGTAACTTGTAGGACCCATTTCAGAAACTGATTGTACGCCTAAAAATAACGAAAAGAAAAAGTCAGATAAGTAATGTATGTCCTATCTGTTTTCGTTTATGAGATATAATGAATTTTCTGTTTTAATTACTTTTACAAAAGATGCTCGAAATGACCGGCTTGCATTTGAAGACAAGCCTGCACGCGTCTTGTCATTCATCTGGTTACTCTCTCTCTATCATTCCTGGTGTTTCTCGAATTTGTCGGAAGCCTTGCTCTATTTTATTTCGTAGTATTTCAGCATGTTCAACCGATGTTGCGTGTACAGTAGATTTCAAATGTCCCCACAAATGAAAATCTAATGGATTCGAATCCGGAGAACGAGCAGACCGTGCAAATAGGACCTCCACGACCAATCTATTTATTTGCAACGTGTTGATTTAAAAATTGCCTAGCCACTCGGCTAAAACGCGGCGGAGTTCCATCATGCATAAACCGCGTACAAAGTCTAATACCGACTGGAACTTCCTCTAATATTTCGAGTAAACGCGTGCTCAAAAAATCAACGTACTTTGCGCCTGTTAGTTTCCAATCAAGAAAAAAAGGTCCAATTAAAAATTTATCAATTATTCCTGCCCATACGTTTAAACTAAACTGGTGTTGATGTCTTGAATGCACAATAACACGTGGGTTTTCTTCATCTCAATTATGATTTTTATGAAAGTTGAATATACCATCCTTGGTAAAACTAGCTTACTAGAGTTTGCTCTGTTTATAAAATTCATTATAAACGAAGACAGATAGGACATATATTTATATGACTTTTTTTCATTATTTTTAGGCGTACAATCAATACTCCCGAAGTGGGTCCCATAAGTTACGAAATATACGCCCTGTATATATACATTGTCATGTGGTTTGGCTCGTGTTCTGCGCGTTCTGATAAACAGTCGAAAATTTATGATAATAACAAAATATCATCGCCCGTCATATTGAGGTATAAATTTAGAAGAAAGGGTGCTTTGCGACAATGGTCGTGTTCCATCAAGTAGGATACACAAGTCCCTCCATTTGCGCGGAATTTTCATTTTCACATTCAGAGACATAGATTTTCTTTTTCTTCGCGTTTGTTAAACGTTTGTTTCCGAGTTGAGATTACAGTACAAAGTGTAAATCTGGACAGTGTCGTAAAAACGTTGTGTTCACTTATTGTGTTTTGAATAACATACCGCTGTTAAAACTGACAGACTAACGTCTGCATGTTTAAATTAAGTGTCGTCTTACCGATGCTTTTCATGCGTATAAAATATAAAAAGCACCGCACAAGGGGAGATTCGCGTAAAATTTTTTTTAAAAACAGTGCCGCGTAAAATGGAGGGACGGGCGTACATCTTCTGGCCTCGTAAATTGAAACCACGTACCGCAAAGCACCGCGTAAATAGAATTCTAATTTATCACGTAAGTGGAGGGGCGGTTGTACTTAGTTGTGTACGTATTTTAGTCGGCAAAGTTACGTCGTTCGATGATCGACGATTACGTCGTCGTACTTTGCTGTTTTCAGTAGCGCGTAGTAGCGACGAGGGCTGTCGATCGTTACAGATTTTCCCTCAGGAAAAGGCTCTCCCCTTTGGAAATTTACAACTCGATCAAAGTAGCAAAATCATCGATCAGGACCGATGTTTGCAACATACGTACGTACGTACATACATACACACATACACACATACATACATACGTGTATAACGTTATACTAGGCTCGCAACCGCGCGACTAACGATGACAAGCCGCGTAGGTGCGAGACCGCGAGCGACATTTTCGAAAGAAGCGTAGAAATTTTAGACACTACCAGAGTAACGGTATGTATTTTCTCAATAAACTATTATCCTCTTATTTGCGTATTACGCGTACAAACCGGACGAAACGCGAGGGGGGAGGATCTTCACTCGCCAAGATCTGTCTTGGTGTGTTGGGTGTCTTTGTTTGTCGTTCGATTCGCTCTAAAATGAAATCACGTGAATCACGAATAAATTCCTAAATCGAGGAGCAAGGAGAGTAACGAGGGAGCAAGGATGGAGAAAGACGTAAGGGCGAGCGAAGAAGCGAAAGAGAATGGAGGAGAATGGAGGAGCGTGGAGGAGGTTGACAGAGGGAGACGTGGAGAGAGCGGACAGCTTGCAGGCACGAGACAATGCACGGCATTGGAGCGCGTCGGCCGCGTCAGCGAGCGGACACCTGCTCCTCGTGCTCTCCACCCCGAACCTTTTATGGTTCAGGACAGGATATAAAACTGGTAGGGCGGCTGGTTGGTCGAGCCAGTAAGGTTTCGGTGGTCGAGCGATTCGCTCGTTGGACGTTGGATCCTCTCGCGAAGGGGGGAAACGAAAAGGTCCGATCGTCGTCGTCGATGCGATCCGGATATCCGTGATATCCAACGAAACGGGAACGGGAACGGGAACGGAAACGGAAACGGAAGCGGCAGGAATCATCGAAGCGGTCGACCGATATCGGTTGAACGGTGGTTCTCGAGGCTGGGTTTCGCCGAACGAAAAAAAAAAAAAAGGAAAGGACGAGGATGAGGAGGAGGAAAGGCTGTTGGCTGTTGCGCGTAACGTTGTTGCTGGTTGTCGGGATCGTTCACGGCGACGAGAACGTTTCGGACGCGATAAGGTCGCTACGGGAGCAGGTGGACGCTCTTCTCGATCATCGGCAGCAGGACTACAACGCTCTCGAGGCGAGCTTGAAGCGCGCGATCGAGAAGAACACAGAGCTGTTTGTCCTAAAGAACGAGATCAAACAGCTGAGGTAAAGGAAAACACAATGTTTGTTGTTGGTCGCGCCTTTGTTTGTATCGGTCGTTGAGCAGATTGCGCGCGCGCGCGCGCGTAACGTTTCGATTTCGAGATTCACGAGCAAAATCTCTGATGTGTGGTGGGCGGTGTGTTCTCTCGTTCTCAGAAAGGAAGTGACCTCGCTGCGCGGCGGTAACGGAAACGAGGCGAAGAACGAGAGGTTGCGCGTGAGATGGCTGGGAAGCGCGGTCACCGAGCTGAAAGGGGAAATCGCCGAAGTGCTGCGGACGAGGAACGCGAGCGAGGAGCTCGCCGAGAGGTCCAGGATGAAAGGCGAGCTCGCCCTGTTGAAGGGGGACGTGGCTGCGGTTGGAAGAGGAATTCGAAATCTCGGCGGCAGAATCGCCAAGATCGAGGCGGTCCTCGGTACCATTCGCGTCGACATCGCCGCGGTGAAGGAACGCTTTAGCCTCCTGTTTCGCACCTGCGCCGACATTGCCAGTCAGGTAAACCAACTAACCCCTAACTAACTAACTAACTAACGCTTCTTTCTCTTTTCCTCTTGTTCCCCCCCCCCCCTCTCTCTCTATATATATATATATATATATGTATATCCTTGCCATTCTCTTCATCCTCTTCTTCATCGTCACCATCATCTACTACTTCTTTCTCTTCCTCTTCTCTTTCATTATTTTTCTTCCTTTTTCTCTTTATCTTTGCCATCCTGGTCGTCGTCCTCCTTCTCTTCTTCCTCTTCTTCCCTCTCTCTTTTTTTTTCCTGTTTATCCTTGAATCGAGCCGCGTGGCCACCTGCCGCTCATTCCCCGGCAGTCGCGCACGCATCTGCCATCGTTTCACGCTGCTGCTACTACTACTACCACCACCACCACCACCACCACCACCACTTTTCCACCTCTTTTCCTCTTTCCTTCCATTTCTCCTTTCGCGCTTCTCTTCGCCACCCCTAAAACTCTCCTCTCTCTTCTTCTCTCGTGTCCTTTCGCTCCTCACCTCTGCTCGCTACACCTCGTTTCGGGACAGCTGCAGAAATACAGTAATTCGACGTACATGCTTGCTTGCTTGCTTGCTTGCTTGCTTGCCTGCGTGCCCACGTGAAACGTCGACGAGAAACCGAAACACCTGCTACTCTCCCTCCCCCTCCGTTCGCCGCGTTAGCCAACCAACAGAAATCGATTTCTCACTGGCGAATCGTCGCGTCGTTTCGCAGCTGCTGCTCAACATTCTTTGCTCGCTTGGCCGTCGATTGAATTCCCATCGATCCCATCGGAGGAATTTCATCGATCTTGTCCTGTACAGGCTAGGGAAGAAAAGTTTGTCCGCGACTATCACAAAGATGAATTCTACACCTTCGATTTGATGGTACATCATGTACCTGTAAAGAGCCTGTCGCAAAATTGAAAGAAAAATTTTTTTTTTTTTTTTTGTATTGTATTTCACTCGTTACGAATCGTAATACTTTTTCAAGGAACCATAGGTCTAAGTTCTCCTGAAAAATGGCAAAATAGTTTGACATTGCTGAGGTGTGCGTGCTAACAGCGACTTTATGGTTCTGGATTAGGCTTTGCTGACGTTTGATTTATCATAGTTGTAGCATCAGTGTGAGTTAACTAGCTGTTAACTTATAAAGAGCTAGAGGACCCATAAAGTCGCTGTGAGCATTGAATGATTAAATGAAGAGACTCTTTTGTCATTTTTCAAGTGAGCTATTAGATTTCGATCTATAGTTCCTTGGAAAAGTGTTACCTTTGCGACGAGTGGAATACAATGCTAGAAAAAAATTTTTTTGAGCTTGAAATGCAATTTTCAGAACCTTTACGTGTATTTCCATCAGATCGAAAGTGTAGAATTCATCTTTACGATGGCCACGGACAAACTTTTCTTTCCATCCTGTACTCTGCTTCTTCCTTGTCCTTCGTCAACACTATAACTACCAAAATGATCAAAATGATCAAAATGACCAAGCGATAATTTTCGAGTTTGGACATTTCACAGATGTAAAACGTAAATATTCTATGTTACCGTGTTACAAAGATTCTCTTGTTACTTTAACGTCTCTGATGGAAATTTTACGTTTTGCTCGTCTCGGTAGTTTTGGTGTTTCTAGTTGCCAATCTCCCAATCTGTCTGTCTGTCTATCGTCTATCTTTCCTGCCGATCATAAACGTAATGCCGACGCGGATCGCGGTCGTTCCATTCGTCGAGAGGTTCGAACCTCTCAAGCTGCGTTGAAAACACGATGAAACTTGAATTTCAGTTGAGCTCGATCCAAATCGAGGTAAAGTCTCTTCGGTGCGAGTCGTTCTCGACCAACCTGGTAAATTCGCCGGTTCAACGTCCAACGAGGGCCGGTGATGATGATGATGATGATGATGCAGAGGAAGAAGAAGAAGAAGAAGAGGGGGGAGCAGAAACAAAGGCAGGAGAGAGAGGCAAGGAGAAGGAAGCAGAGAGAAGGACGAGAACAGGGAGAGCCAACGATCGTGAAGAGAACAGCGCTACAACAACAACAACAACAGTAACAAGAACGACAACGAGGGGTAGCAACGGCGAGCAGGGTACAGCCGTGGCCCTCTCACGCGACTCGCTGCCCTCTCGGCGCAGGTTTGCGAGGAAGCACACTCGAAGCGGATACTCGAAGAGAAAGGAGGGGCATCGGACGCGGCTGGAGGATCGTTTGAAGAGCCTCGAGCGTAAAGTGTTTCTGGCAGCGCAGAGGCGGACGTCGTTGGAAAAGCGCGTGGCGATGGCGGCGGCGGCGGCCGTGGCCGCGTGCGAGAGTCAGGAATGGGCGGGCCTGGCCAAGCGAGTGAAAAGTTTGGAGAGGGCCGGCGTCGAGCTGGCCGGCAGGATCTCGAACGTCACGGAGAGCGGAGTTTTCACGAGGGAGGTGAACGAGTCGCTGGGCCTGCGGCTCGTCGACTCGTTGCGATCGCTGGAGAACGCCATGGAGGCGAACAACTCGTTGACGAGGCGAGAGTTGACGCGGCTCGGTATAAACGCCGCTCGGAAAGGGGCGGAGCTGTCGTTGACCAGGGAAGAGCTGGGTAACCTGCGACGCACCGTGCAGGCGTTGAGCGTCAGCGCGTCGAAACTCCAAGAGAGGAGCGACAGACACGAGGAAGCGATCGATCGACTGACAAACGCGTCGTCGGACGAGTCGTTCTCGAGTTTCCAACAGCTGGAGGACCGGTATCACCTGATCGGCAGGAATCTGACCGGCGACTGCGAGCCAACGACGGAGGATCAGCCCGCGGACGGGCTGCGACTTTTGGAGGTGGGCAAAGGAGGCAGACCGATGTTGGTGTTTTGCCGCGAAGGTTGGATCGTGGTGGCGCGTCGCGTCGACGGAACTCTCGACTTTGACAGGACATGGCACGACTATTCCCTCGGGTTCGGCTCGCCCGTCAGCGAGTACTGGATTGGCAACCAAGTCCTTCATAGGCTCACCACCACTACCGATCGCGGCAGCGGCGGCGGCGGCGACAACGACGACGACGACGACGACGACGACGATGATGACGACGACGACGATGATTGCACCAGCCTTCGAATCGACATGACGGACATTTACGGGGAACGTTGGCGTGCCGAGTACCAGTCTTTCAGGGTCGAATCCGAAGAGACCGGCTACAGGCTCGAGGTCCGCGGATACTCCGGTAACGCGACCGACGCCCTCTCCTATCAAAACGGAATGGCTTTCAGCGCGAAAGATCGAGACATGGACGCCAGCGCGACTCACTGCGCGAGAAACTACCGCGGCGGATGGTGGTTCAGTCGATGTCAACACGTTAATCTCAATGGGAAATACTCGTTGGGCCTTACGTGGTTCCGGTCCGACACTAATCAATGGATGTCCATCGCTTCTTCGGAAATGTCTGTACGCAGGAACTTTGACTGTCGTCGTCGTCGTCGTCGTCGTCGTCGATCGCGATAGCGATTTTCGACTTTCGATCTTCCTTCTCTTCGATACCAAAGACTTTTTTTTTTATGAATAATCGCCGCGTCGCAGCTGCTCGTTAATTCGCAAGCGATCCAGACACTCAAACACAAACGAGAAGACGGTACTACCTCTAATTCCTACCTGTAATTATCGTGTTATCTCCATTATTATTTGCCAATTCGCTCGTTGGAAAATACATATTTTTAATTCTATATTGCAACATTCATATACGCCACGTACGTACATCCGCGTAATGTATCGCGTAATTGTACAATATACGAAGATATTAGCGAGGTAAAATTGTCGAACAACGACGAATTAATCGATCGATTGATTACTTCCTTGTACGAAATAAATACTATTGCCTTTTCCCTTTGGTATTTGCTTTTCTCATCGTCATTTTCTTGTCATCGTCGTTTCCAAGTTTCTTTTTTTCCTTCCCCCCCCCCCCCCCCCCC